CCTGGCGATCGACTGTCCTGCAAAGTTTAGCTCCAACTCTAATCAAAGACACCTGACTTTAATTTTTAAGTGATCCTGAAGACCCTAATTAGTTGCTTCAGGTGTGTTTGATTAGGGTTGGAGCTGAACTTTGCAGGACAGTCGATCGCCAGGAGCAGGGTTGGGCACCCCTGGTCTACGGCATACAGCGTGTTTCGGAAACGATACGCCGATTTCAATAGTTGTATATTTTGAACGCTCTATAGAAAATATAAACATCTATTATTTATCAAACATACAGGTTGTGATTCAGTGGAGCAACTGGTACAAATAAACAGGATACTGATCCATCTTTCAACAGCAAGCGTATGTGAATCCCGCGTTGAACTCCCCGAGATTAGAGAAGCAGTTGTCAGTAAAATGAGGTGTTTGTGGGCGGGGTCAAGTTGTTCGCGGTCGGCCAACGTAGAACATAGGCGTGCATTATGCAAATGTGTTACCCCGTGAAGTGTAGCCATCACGCAAGTGGGATTCGAATTACTAACGACTCGTTTCAGCTGTTCAGAGTCGATTAAAGCAATAAGCCCCAAGAAGCCGTGGTTTACAGTAAATTTATAACAGCTAAGGGGCGTTGTTAGGCACGACGCAAAGCGGATGTCAGGGCTTATTGCTTTTATAAAGCGGTTATTCCATATACGTAGCAAGGTTTCACAAAATAAAACAGCAAATAAAGTGTAATGATATTAATAAAAACATTATTCTTTCACCAAACAATGTAGTTCCTCAGAAACGTCTGTGGTTGCAACAAAGTGGTTGCCAAGCAACACACAAACGTAATGTTTGTAGAGTAATTTACAACAGCTTCAAACGCAGCTCAACCAATCAGAATCAAGGACCGGAACTATCCATTTTATAATCTTTATTTTGGGAGACAATAACTTTATTTTTCGTGCACTTTCAGGTTTACAACTTTGCAGATCGTTTACATTCACATACAGCTACATTATTACACACTGCATGAAAGGCAATATTGGAAATGTCATAATATTGGCACTTTAAAATACATTTTTAAAACAAATTAAATATCATTTGTAATTTGTTTGTGATTATGTTTTGTATTTGTGTTGTCTGTCATTCTATCTATCTATCGTTCCATTTATCCATCGTTATCTTTCTGTGTTTCTGTCTGTCTGTCATTCCATCTATGCATTGTTCTGTCATTCTGTCTGTTCCATTTATCCATTATTTTATCTTTCTTTCTCTCTGTCTGTCTATCCAGAATTCTATCTTTCTATTTTTCTGTCTGTCTTATATCCATATATCGATCCAACTATCCATCGTCCATATTGTCTGTCTGTCTGTGTTTTTCTTAAAGGTAAATTTCTGCCGTTTTCTCCCATCTTTCAGCACAGCGAGGATACTTCTTTTACAGTATGAATGTGAGACAGCTGCACAGGTAGTCTGAGAGACAGACCCTTACAGACAGGTGCAGAGAGACAGTTAGAACATGTCAGAGGAAGATCAGATAAGTGTCTTACTCGAGCATCTGCACAAAGCCTAATTCAGCCATACACTCAGTATTCAAAGCACAGATCGTAGACAGAGCTCTCTTAAGGTGAAAGAGGCCACTGGTTCCTCTTGCATGCATTTAGGTCTGTTATTTAGCCCCTAAAGTTGAGCTGTGGATCATGACGTCAAAGTAGCTGTTACTCCAATGTGACCAATTCATTGGCAAAAACACATGGTATATGTGACTATTTAATGGAGATCTCTCTGTTTGTTCTGTCCACAGGAGAGGGATATGGCTCAGGAGACCAATCAGACACAAGTGCCTTTGCTCTGTTCTAATGGTTGTGGGTTTTACGGGAACCCGCGTAATAACGGCATGTGCTCGGTGTGCTACAAAGACTCCTTGCAGCGGCAGAACAACAGCGGCAGGTCCAGCGATTCAGGTGAGTCAGATGTATTGCAAAAAGACCCATTTCCAACTGTCCTGCGTTAGCAAGTACTATTTTACAGTCAAAATTCAGCGGTATTTGATCACATTAGCATTGATTGGTTTTTAATGTCAACCCAAAATGCTGTGCATAGGCCATTTTATTTTGTTAATGTGACACATTTTTGAGTTAGCTTTGCAAATAGGTTTCAAAAGTATGAAAGATTTGTGATGTCAGATCAAAAGGAAGGTCTGTTCTGAGATGGAGGAATTCAGTTATTACGTTTATGAAGAAAAACTTGTGTACTGATGAATCTTTCACTGTGGCTCAGTGGTAGAGCATTGCGTTAGCAGCGCAAAAGGTCGTGGGTTCAATTCCCAGGGAGCACACATACTGGTAAAAAATGTATAGCCTGAATGCACTGTAAGTCGCTTTGGAAGCGTCTGCTAAATGCATAAATAATAAAATAATAATAAGATCAGAACTATGAAAGTAGAAAGAGGCAATAATGGCCAGATATAGTTTAATTGCTGCTTGACATACACTATATTTCAAAAGTTTGGGGTATTTTTTTTTTTAAATGACTTTGAAAGAAGTCTCTTGAATGCATCAAGGCTATATTTGCTTGATCAAAAATACAGTGAAATCATTAATATTATTAAATATTATTGCAATTTAAGATAACTGTTTTTATTATAAAATACATTTCAAAATGTAATTTATTCCTGTGATGCAAAGCATCATTCCTCTAGTCTTCAGTGTCACATGATCCTTCAGAAATCATTGTAATATTCTGATTTGCTGCTCAAGAAACATTTCTTATTATTATTGATGTTGAAAACAGTTGTGCTGCTTAATATTTTTGTGGAAACTGTAATACATTTTTTTTTTCAGATATTCTTTGATGAATATAAAGTTAAAAAGCAAAACCTTTATTTGAAACAAAAATCTTATATAACATTATAAATCTTTTTACTTTCACTTTTGATCAATTTAATACATGCTTTTATTGGAAAAAAACAAATAATAAAAAATCTTACTGATCCAAAACTTTCTTTTTTCCCTCTTGCCCCATTTGCAGTTTTTTGCTTGGTCCAAAATCCTGCTTATCCACATCAAAAGATTTTTGATAAGCTGTAATTTCATTATTTTCAAAACCATTTTAACCTTCATTCAGGAATGCAAAAATTACATGCCGGCTGCTGCAAACAAGTAGTTCCATTTGGACACAGTGTTACACTGAAACGTGTCTCAATAAGCAAACCCTCACTTGTTCTGTTACTTTCATCAGCTTCTGAAGATTAAGGAGAACTTAAAATGGAAGTGTTGATATTTTGGGTTTCCTGCACTTTCATTGTCTGCAGTGTCTTCCAGCATTAGCAGTAAAGGAGAATCTATGACTGTACAATCGACGTCACAGCATGAACAAAACAGGTACAACTTCGTCCTCTTTACCACTCTACCATCATTTCTCATAACAGTTGCTTAAGTCATTGCAATTGCATAGGATGTAGTTTATTTGTGCAACTCTTATTTCAAAAGGGCAAGAACAGGCCCCTTTCTTATTGAAGTATAAACCTGTTTTAGGACTGAGTGGTATTACGGTACATACGGTAGAAGTGTGTCAGCAGATTCTGCTCTACCATTTATATAACAGTAGATAAATTTGTATGGCTATCAGTGGGCACTTCTACTGTTATGATTCTTTTGTGTTAAACTCAGGTATTACATATTACACAATGTCAAGCTGTTTTTGCACTGATGGCAGACTTCATTTATGAATAGTCTTTTTTTATTTTTCTTCCAAATTCCAATTTTTTTTGTATCATTGAGGTACTACCATAGTTTTTATTAACATTTTAAATTAGTTATTATTTTTAGATTTTGCTTTTACATTTGAATTGTAGATAGTTTTATTATATTTTTAGTTTTTTCCCCCCTTATTTTTAAATGCTTATATAGTTTTTATTTAATTTCAGTTTTGATTATTTTAGTACTTTGTTAAACTAAATAAAAATGAGAAATGTTGCCTTGGTAGCTAGCTGAAATAACATTTTTTTTATTTTTATAATTGTTTATTTTATTTCAGTACATTTTATTTATGGTTTTAATTTTAACTATAAATAGGCTGGTTCCCATTACATTTACAAAATGTCAATCAACGATTCGCTAATTTGCATTTTTTTATTTATTTTTTGTAGTGTATTTCTCTCACTGGTTTAGCCACGAACAGGCATTACAGCATGGTTATTAAATGTATAAACAATTTCTCATTTAATTTCCAGCAGTGAAAATTACTTTTTGGTCATAACACCCACTTCTAAGGTTTACACAACTGCTATGTATTTTCACTTATGTAACACAACAATCTTTTCTCATCATCCTCTCCAGTCAGTGTTTCTCAACAACAACACCAGCAGCAGCAGCAGCAGTTACACACAAAGACAGTGCTTCAGCAGCAGCTCAATCAGGCCTGAAAGCACCAGGTATGTTCCCTTTTTCACTTTGACCCGTTTATGTCATCCCCCACTCCAAAACCAGACACACATTACATGACACAGAAAGAGACAAACGCTCTGTCAAACTCCATAGAAACAGCCAGTCATCATCTTCCAAATGTGTCTAATTGTTTGCTTTGAGACCAGGCCAATAAGTGTTCAAAGTTCACTTGTCACATTTGATTAAAAGCTCTGTTTTCCAGGGCTAAACAGGCTTACATTTGTATGTCTGCTGATTTTATTGATCATAAGGCTCTTGTTTGTTAATTAATTGGTAGTGTAAGATCTGAAGAACCTCAGACACTTTGATCTTCTGAGATAGAGACAATACAAACACAGTGTATTAACATGCAGACATCTGTTTCCACATCTCACTGAGAGATGATTTCTCACGTACACTTTTCATCCACTTCCTTCCCCTCACTCAGAATGGTCAATAGCATAATATAATGTCCTACATGAATGCAAGTGATATTCACAGTGATGTTTGGTATCATTTGAATTGCCTCAGGGCGACTGGTACAATGGTCTCAATCTTACAAGAACTAGACTAAAAGGTAATACAGATCCTATGAGTTTAGAGATATTTTTCTCACTGTAGAGGGTGTGCTCTTTCCCAGTGTCTTTCATGCAAATTACCATTTGTCCCCAAAAGGGGTAAACTCTCAATGTCTAGGACTTGATCGATGCAGATTCCAGTTAGTTCCTGTCTCTATTTGGAGGATGTTTGTCTTGGTCTGAGTACTTAAGGAAGAGTTGCAAGAAGATCAGGGTGCTTCTGTAGTCAGATGAGCCCGTAGTATGGTGTGTGTCTCTGCACTCCATACTATGTATTTTCCTGAAGTCAGGTATGCATCGTTTACTCTTAGATTTATCTTTCAGAATTTCAAGTCTTGTATTGATTTGATTTGATATCTCTGAATTGACCATGTAATTGTCATAATACATGTTTACCTGACTGATAATAAATTGTTACATTTGATTTTATTCTGACTTACTCTGAAATTATTTTCTCAAGTAGATTAAGGCGTATGTTTCCGCAAATCTACGTCCAGGGTTAAGTACATACTAGATCTCAGGTTAGATGAAGCATGGGGCACATCAGGTGGAATGCTAGATTTCTGACTTACTGTTTGACTTCAGTTAAGTTGTTATGCATTAACTATGGGGGGGCTAGACAAAATACTATTGGAGTACTAGTAAATATGGTTCGGCATACTTCATAGTTCTAGCTATAATCTCTGGTTATTGTTTAAGCTTTACATTGTTACATAGGTGACTGTAGGGGGCTGAACAGAACCTCTATTTAAAGAATGACAAGCATGAGGTGGTCTATTAAATAGAAGTCATAATCTCTGTCTAACGATCAGACTGGAGAGTTTGTGATCGTGAGGTCCACGTAAATCAGCCGACGTGAGACACTCTGAGCGACATAGAATCCTAATGAACGAGTAAAATATAAAGTAGAGTTCACTAGAATAATCAAAAATTAGAAATGGACAAGCAACCAATTTGCATTTCAATCTAAATTCGAGGTCATAATAAAATTGAGTCAGATTAGAATTCAATTTAATTTAAATTACTTTGCACACCGAAAAGACCGAACACGCAAGAAACCTTCAGCCACCATTGGATACCTTCGTTTGGCCAATTGGGTGGACCTTACAAAGTAGTGACCGACCTCCGTGATCTCCAACCCAGGCGAGTGACGTCTTTTCAGCGCAATACGGATTTGCACCGAACGAGAGGTTTGATCATCTCCATCTCTTTCTCCAGCTGCTGTGGTAAGTCAATTCTTATTTGCTTTTTAGAAGTGTTGAGGGAAAGACAGACACACATCCCATATAGACGCATTTGTAGAATGAGTCGGAATACTCATTGTTAGAATGGAGACCGTATCCGTTAGGTTGAGAATTAGACTAAACCACTTGGCTTGTCAGGGACATGATAGCAGCAGCATAGAAGAGGAATGACATCCCTTGTTCTGAAATGTAAATATCTCCTTGTTTGCCTAAGCAACAAGAGATGAATCTTAAAATTGGAAAACCATCAAATTATAATCTGGTACTCAACAGAAAGTCATAAATTAGAACCTAAAGTTTTAATCGGCAAGCTGCATTCTTTGTTTTATTTGCTTCATTGCAACAAATGAGCAACATTTGAATGAGAATGAATAAACAGAATAAAAATCGAAATTACAAAACAATTGGAAAACTTGTGATTGAATATGAAAAGCAAGCTGAGCAAAACAGGGTGGTGTGATCACAACTCAGAACTTTAATGAAAGCTTTATTTAGGCCAAAAATTATACCTCCGCTCTTGAGGATTACTGCTACAAAGCAGAACTCCTCTTGACTGCAGT